TGTAACCAAATACCTGTAGCTTACGAATATCTTCTGCTCTTAGTGGCCATGTTTTGCAGCCGTAAAGTAGAATAGAACGGACTGCCGCGCAGTATACTCGTCCTTTTATTGATAGACGGATATCTCGCCTTCGCCACAGGTGACGTAAGTTGGCAAAAGCCAAACGAGCTTTTCGAATCCGTGCTGAGATTTCGTCAGACACCAACCCATTAGGGCTGATCAGACTTCCAAGTTAAGTAAAGTTGTCAACGCGTTCAACTACTTCACTCCCTATCCTTAGTTCGGGTGTTGACGCAGACCAGTCCTGAAGCAACAACTTGCATTTCGAGGGAGAGAAGTGCATTCCAAACATTCTGGCATTGTTGCTCAGTGCTACCAGAAGACTCAGCATTTTGTCAGCGTCTTCACCAAACAGGACTATGTCATCTGCGTATTCTAAGTCGATAAGTGGACCTCCTGGTAGAAGATCAACACCCGAGAATTCAGTAGACGAGAATGTTATTTCCATCAATAAGTCTATGATGAAGTTAAACAAAAATGGAGAAAGTGGACAGCCTTGACGGACACCACTTGAGGTTGCAAAAGCAGATGAAAGTTCGCCATAAGCTCTGACTCGACTAGTAGTGTTCGAGTAAAGAGCCTTCACAAGGTTTATGTACTTCTGTGGTGCACTTTTCAATGACAGACTGCTACAGAATCTCGCGGTCTACCGAGTCAAATGCTGCTTTTAAATCAAGAAAGACCACCATTGTCGGACGCCGATAAGTATGTCTGTGTTCTAGAACCTGACGAATGGTGAATATGTGATCGATGCAGCCACAACCAGGTCTGAAGCCAGCTTGATTCTCTCGTGTTTGCAGTTCACGAGTCCTAGTTAAGCGTCTGATAATTATCGAGGCTAGTATTTTAGATACTATATTAGTTAAACTAATCCCTCTATGGTTGTCACAGGATGATTTTGACCCTCTCTTATATATTGGGACGATAAGTGATTGTGACCAGTCAGATGGGATAACGTCTAACTCCCAGATCTTAGTTAAAATATTCGTCAACCTAATCGCTAAACTTGGACCACCATCCTTAAAGACCTCTGGAGACAATCCATCTGCCCTTCCTCGTTTCAGATTAACTATAGCCTTTTGAACTTCTGCTAGAGTTGGGGAACCTACTTCAATGCTCCATTCACACTGTCTGGGAATGGAGTGTAGTTGTAGAGTAGCTGAAGGCCAGTTGAACTGTTCTCTAAAATGTTCCGCCCATCGTTCTAAACGTCTGGACTGGGAGCAGATGAGTATCGTCTTTTTCCGAAATAGTCTGACTTACACTTGACTTATTAATTCCAGTTTCTTTTATTAGTCTGTAGAGCTGTCTTGTGTTCCCTATAGTGGCCGCCTTTTCCATCTCTTTTGCCTTCGTTGCCCACCACTGCTCACGGTCGTTCCTTAGACTTTTGGTTAACCTAGATCTAATTTGTTGTTGCTCTTCATCGTGTTCAGAGCCTGATGGGATGAGTTTGCGAGAATCCATCAGTGCAATAGACCTTGAGGAAATCCATTGGTTCTTTGTAACCCTGTGGTTTAAACCACTGATAGATGTCACTGTTGTTTCCACAGCTGTTTGTAAATCTGTCCAAGCGGCATCTGGGTCAGCCTCGTTGTTCTCGATGATTGTTGAGGCTAGTATTTTAGGTGCTATTTTAGTCAAACTAATCCCTCTATGATTACCACAGGATGATTTTGACCCCTTCTTTAATATTGGGGCAGATGGGATTCATGGGATGGATATTCAAAACACCAACTTTACTTACAGCTAAAATGTCAAAAAATTTCATACCTTTCATTTTTTTTCAATAAAACAAGAACAGTATAAATGAAATAGTAGGAATTTGTTCATTATGTGGATTCTTTTTAAAAGTTTGAAGTCTAAAACATCTATATCAATTTTTCGAAAAACGGTATGTGGACACTTTATTAATGTTCATACAAAAAGTATCAATAAAAAACAATAATATAGAAATAGGAAAATTGAAGGTAAAAGATGTAAAAGCAGTTGAATGAGTCATTTGTTATACTGTTGAAACGGACAATAGTGACTATAAATAATACACCTTTACTAGGAAACGATTATGTATTGTTAAAACTACTAAAAATAAGGTTATTGATAACTTAACGAGCATTGATCAAAATACGATATATGCAGTACATCTGTTAATGGTTTAAACTATTTTTTCTAGTTAGCCTTTTTGCTTCATATACACAAGGAGTTGCATTGATGCTATCCAAACAAACACAGAATGCACTTATGAGATGGGAATCTCATGGACCCAGGATCCTCAAAACCTTCTTCAAAACAAAGAACGAAAGAATCACGATGAATGTTATCAAATGTTATACACCTGCCAATGATAACAATGACGACGATAAAGATCAGTTCTACGAGAGGCTTCAATCGATCATAGTGAAGGGCTCAGAAAAGGACCTGACCATACTGACGGAAGGCCTAAACGCCAAAGTTGGAATGGACAACACCAGGTACGGAAATATCATGGGACGACATGGACTGAGAGAGAGAAACGAGAATGGTGAGAGATTTGCAAACCTATGTGCATTCAACAAGTTGGTCATTGGTGGCACAAGGTTCTCGCAAAAACGCATGCACAAAGCCACACGGATTTCACCGGGTCACACTACACAGAACCAAATCGACCATATATGCACCAATAAAAAGTTAAGAAGGACGACGAAGGACGTGAGAACCAAGAAAGGAGCTGATATATCATCAGACCATCATTTGCTGGTCGCCAAGATGAAACCGAAACTCAAGAAGCACTGGACAGCGGAGTGGACAACACTACAAAAGTTTAATACGACGTTTCTTCGGGATACCGACAGACTCAACAAATTCAAGATGTCCCTCAGCAATAGGTTCCAAGCCTTTCACGGTCTAATTAATGGAGAGGGAACTATCATAGCGAACAGCTGGAAGGGGGTCAAGGAGGCAGCCACTTCAAAATGTCATGAGGTTCTGGGCCACAAGAAGCACCATCACAGGTAATGGATCACAGTTAATACACTGGATGAGATTCAAGAAAGGAGGAACAAGAAAGCAGCAATCAATATCAGCCGAACAAGAGCAGAGAAAGCCAAGTCACAAGCTGAATACACAAAAGGAAACAAGCAAGTAAAGAGAAGCATCAGAGCCGACAAACGTAAATATATGGAGGATTTAGCAATGACGGCGGAAAAGGGTGCAAGAGAAGGAAACATGAGACGATTGTATGACACAACAATGAAACTCGCTGGAAATTATCGTAAACCAGAACGACCAGTGAAAAGCAGGGAAGGTAATATAATCACCAACATTGAAGAACAGTGAAACACGTGAGTAGAGCACTTTAAGGAACACTTGAGTCGACCAGCCCCACTGAACCCGCCCAACATCGATGCAACACCTACGGACTCCCCAATCGATGTTGGCCCACCAACAATTGAGACCAACATGACGATCAGACAAATCGAGAGCGGAAAAGTAGCGGTACCAGACAGACGTGGCAGTAACTGCAGGTATGCTTCACGTTCTGTTCAACAAGATTTGGGAGGAAGAACAAGTGTCGATGGACTGGAAAGAAGGGCACCTTATCAAGATGCCAACGGAAGAAAATCTGTACAAGTGTGAAAACTACAGAGGCATCACACTACTGTCAGTACCAGGAAAGGTTTCTAACAGGGTGTTGCTAAACCAAATGAAAGACTCAGTAGACACCCAACTTCGAGATCGACAGGCTGGATTTCGTACGGATCGATCGTGCACAGACCAAATCGTGACACTACTGATCATCGTTGAGTCAGGCAAGGTTGCTTACTCTCACCCTTCCTCTTTCTCCTGGTGATCGACTGGATTATGAAGACGTCAACATTTAGGGGAAGCATGGGATATAGTGAACAACTAGGATACAGCTGGACTGTTTAGACTTCACAGATGGTCTGGCTCTTATATCGCACACTCAACAAAAAAAACAGGAGGACACGACCAGTGCAACAGCAGTAGGTCTCAACATACACAAAGGGAAAAGCAAGATTCTCCGATACAACACAGCATGCAACAATCGAATCACACTTGACGGAGAAGCTTTGGAAGATGTAAAAACCTTTACATATTTGGGCAGCATCATTGATGAACAGGGTGGATCTGATGCAGATGTGAAGGCGCGGATCGGCAAAGCAAGAGCAGCATATTTACAACTGAGGAACATCTGGAACTCAAAGCAACTGTCAACCAACACCAAGTTCAGAATCTCCAATACAAATATCAAGACAGTTCTACTGTATGGGGCGGAAACTTAGAGAACTACGAAAGCCATCATCCAGAAGATACAAGTGTTTATTAACAGTTGTCTACGCAAAATACTTCAGATCCGTTGGCCGGACACTATTAGCAACAACGTACTGTGGGAGAGAACAAACCAGATCCCAGAGGAGGAAGAAATCATGAAGAAGCGCTGGAAGTGGATAGGACACACATTGAGGAAAGCACCCAACTGCGTCACAAGACGCCCTCATATGGAATCCTCAAGGCCAAAGGAAAAGAGGAAGACCAAAGAACACATTACGCCGGGGAATGGAAATAGACATGAGAAAAATGAACAAGAATTGGATGGAACTAGAAAGGAAGGTACAGGACAGAGTGAGTTGGATGGTGCTGGTCGGTGGCCTATGCTCCACTGGGGGTAACAGACGCAACTAAGTATCTGTTAGTTGTATATATATAGTCATCAGCCTAACTATTAATACAACTTAGTAATAATAAACCCCTCCCTACATTAACGAAGTAGGAAAATATGTGAAAGAAAACAATTCAACATTTTTTTTATCTAAACACTATTTGCAAAAATAACTTTGTAAATAAAATTTAAAGTTTATGTAAGCCCAAATATTAAAAGCATTTTGCAATCAGGCAGAAAACCATTAAGTTGTGTGGAAATTTCACAGCAAGAAACTAACCTCTCTCAGATTCAGAATTCCCATCGTTAGAATCTTTCACGGCCGATCTTACCGCTCGTAACTAAAAGTCAGATATGACTGGTTTAAGTATAAATTTAAGCATTAAGACGTAGTTAAATAATCCATACAGTCATAAAATCCCATTATTTGAATAATAACGTGTTATCAGATAACAATAATAACAAGTAGTTTACTTTCTACATGATCAAGCGAAGTTTACGACTGAGAACAAAATTCTACGCATATTTTATGGAAATTAATTTACATGACTCAAGGAAATGATAGTAAAACATAATATGGAGTAACTACAGCCAAATAGACTAAACACTAAACATCGGAACACCATAAAAGACAAACTAGATTAGATTATAAGTACAGCGAATGCAAAAAGTGGCCATTGGCATAGTTTCCACCGGTTATAAATATAAATATAACAGTACTAAAACCTTTAACCGAAAATGAATATATCGCGATCTAGCACATATATTTTCATTTGTACAATATTTTACCCCTATAAAAGATTTAACAGTAGACAACAAAATGGTACGAAATGTTTGAGACACTTGGTCATGTTTATTGAAGTACCAAAAAAGTCCTATCCTAATCATTGATTTGTTTTGTTCTCATATAGTCTATGTTGCTACTTCTAATACTATACAAATATAAAGATGTTCAGTATTTCTCTAACATTTCAAACGACTTAATGGTTGCTTTGAACCAATTTTTGGTAACGCATTAAATAACTAAGTATGCCACTTTAGAAGCCTCATACATAAATGGGATAAACAAATTTTCTAATGATATTGAAAAACTGTACAGGTAAAATGGGATGCATCTCAGAGATAAACCTACAGGATTTTAGGTTAGTAAGGTTAATAAACTTTCTGTTTAATCCAACTTCAGTAGTTTGACATAATCCAGTTCGGAAATCATTTGACGCTTGACAACATCGATATTTGCACATGTAAATGTGCACTACTTGCAGAATTTACTATAGTTCCTGACGTATCGTTAACCTATATATTGCGGTTGAAATAACTAGTTGGCTGTAGCAGCGAAGCTTTTAGTCATAGCTGACCAAGATTTTCAAAACTATGACTCATAAAAATGTCGTAAATTAAGTGACCGAGTATGCGTTATCAAGTCTTTTTCCATTTGAAATGTTTGTTTTTGCTAGAAGTAACTTGTAATTTAATGATCCATTACAATTCTATGGAAATAATAAGATCCAGGTACAAGAAACTAATGTGACATAAAAATTTACCTTTCCAGGTGATTTCACGTTTTCAAAAGCAAATGTTGACAGTAACTCAACGTAAGTCAAGAAGCAAAACCCCTTCCATTTCCAGTTACAAAAAGTAGTTTTTAACCTTTATATCTACATACAAGACGGTACGTATGTAACCCACAAAGGATTAATTCTTAGTTTTATGGATGACAACTGTCAAGTAGATAAAAAAGACTCTAGGTTAATTGACATTAACAGATGAATTATATTTGAAGTAATTAGTCAGAAATCGTATTGCAATGAATCACTCAAGGACAGTAGCCGTTATGCTTCAATACTTTTTAAAACTCTCTTGGTTTAATTCTATATTCGGCAGTTCAAAAATCAATTGATAGCGTTAACGTTTGTCTGATCATTCTCTTGTACTTTAGTCAGTAATCGCAGTGTTACATTTCCAAACAAGTCAACAAAATATAAACTAATTAAAAACTAACTTGTTCAAGTTGCTGCTGTTGATGAACAAGTTGGAACCTATACACTTCGGAGAGGTAGTGTTCAAAATATTGGTCCTGCATTTCGGTTACCAATGCCTTTTGCTAAAAATAATAATGAGACTGAAAATAGGATGCATTTACTTTTTCTAAATCTTTAGGAAACTGTTCCCGAGCATATTGTTCATATAGATCTTTAGTTTGCTGCACTAGAGCCGATTTAATTTCAATCCTAAAACGCTAATACAAAAATGAAAATGCGCCATTACTCTTTCTGACCTAAATCTCCTTGATCATCGCAAAATCCTTCTTTTATGCGAACAGAGGTTTTACGGATTTCATTTGAATCAGGTGGATCATTTAAGGAGAGGGTTTCAAATTTATCCGGATTAGATACATTTGTCTCGAATTCTCCCATTATTTAGAAATTATTCATAATCTGTTAACAAACTGAAACAGAGTGTAAAAGATCATTAATTATACTAGATTTACGCAATCGCATAAAACCATATGCTGTTTAAATACTAAACGTACACATCTAAATTTTCATCATACCAAAAAACACAACCAGCTTCTTATCACGACAAAACAAATACAATCGATTCCTTAGTAAATTAGAATTAGAATATAAAGCACAGCTAAATTCACTTAAACTGTCAATAATGAAATGAATTTTATAGATAAATGATCGGCTGTGAACCATGTCTAGGAAATTTTGAGGAATGAAATTAAACCTGCAATTTTAAATAAGCAATAGTGTTTTTAATCGTCTAACGAAGTGTCCTTAAGTGTCCATTTCTGGAACAAAATTCATCAAATTGTGTAGGCCAAAACGGCAACTACTCATCGTAATCAACTTCAAGTATTCATTTTCACTCCAACATTAATTTAAACCCCTTATTTTTATTAAGTTTGGTTCAGATATTAACTGTTTGCACAAACATTTACAGATTTCTATACTCACTTTAATAAGTAACCAAATCGAATGCGTTCAAAATATATCGACATTATTAGTCTCAAAAACTACTAACTACGCTTTCTAGCAGACCGACCGTAGCCTATTTATTGTACGAACCGCAAGACTAAGGCTTCATCAGATCCTAATCTTCGTATTTTGAAGAAAATTTCGTCCATTTTGAAGAAATGCCACACAAAAACACAAAACATCTCAAACTCCGGGAAAATCTCAATAACTGCTGAAAGGATTTTGGACTTTCCCCAATATTTCCCCAAACTTTGTCGAAACTATGGACTCTCATTAATTTTAAGACGAACCCCAAACTTTACTCAAAACTCACCAAAATCGGAAGATAGGGGCTAGACGAGAATGGCACAAAAGCTGCTTAAATTTCTTTTTACCTAAGAGTTTGCCTATCATATTGGTAGTTGACGACGACAGTATACAAAATAGTTATATACCGATAAGCAACTAAGACGGAAACAATTAAACCTCAAAAATAATATTTAAGCATATGCTTGCAATAAGAAATGTACGGATCACTAGAGGCGATTAAAAACAGCTTGAAAAAAGGTAAGTACTTTGGTCCGTTTATCACAAAAACACTGGTTCTTTACCGATCCAAACAAAATCCCACAACTGAGATAGTACAAACGTAGCAAAAAACTAAGTAACGCTAAAACCAGTAAACCCGCTCGTATAAAATACGTACATTACATTAGTAATAAATAAGTAAGAAAATGATAAAAATAGCTTCTAGATAACTGATTATCATGTCTTACATAGTAAAATTCTAAAACTTTGCAATGAAAATCACGGCATGTCGTAACATATTGAATATTTCCAAAATGTATCAGTTTTATCGGAAATAAAATAATAATTCGCTTTGTGACTGTTGATTAACCTGACAAAATGGTTATTTTGTAAATAGTTTTTGGTTGTGGTAAATAAATCCCTAAAATAAATAGCTATGTAAGCTTTCGACATTGGATGCTGACTACATGTTTTATTGAACTCACCTGGCTGAAGGCGCTCGGTCATGCATCCGCTTCAGATCACGAGTGGGAACGCCGTGCTCAACATCTACTGCAGTCGCTAGCCAGATTAGATCAGACGATTCTCGATATATTGATATCACATCAAATATATCTTCCAATCTTCTCGATTCTGTCTTTTGATTTCGCTTGGTGGGTGTTACTGGTTAAAGAGTTGTCAAACACTGAATACCTGTGCCATCTTTATGATGTTATTTGTATTTAGTCTTTCAAATTTTCACTGCATGTACATTTATTATTACATGATTGTATGTGTTGATTAAGTGTGTGACCTTGAACATACTTTCTTCCGTCGTGTTACATTCATATCATGAAACACGCTGTCACTCACTAACAAATACACTGTTACACACATACCTCTTGTTCTCCACTCGCTCATGATTGTGTTAACTGAACTCTAAATCAAATACCGTCTACATTCATAGATTATAATCGAAATATATCATATTCTATGTTTGGTTATACAGCTGGGAAGACATCAATTTCACTGGAATATTCAGTAATCTATAATTGTGGATTTTGGCACCAGAATCAATTGGAACACGCACAAACCTGCTGAATTAAGTAACGTCCCTCATTTTTGTTGTGTTTCTTACATATAACTGATATATATATTAATAACACTATTTGTGCTTGATAACTCTGTTATCATTTTTGAGTTCATATGTTATTTGGTCCACCACTATTATCTGGTGAGCCTCGAGTGTGTTATAGTCGTTATATTGCCTACATATTTACTTGACACACTAGTTTATTTTTCACATCATGTACTCTCCAAATAATCTTATCGACATGGATTGTCCCCTAGTGGACACCGTCAACTCATCGCATTCATATGATAGTATTTTAAGCTCAGTTAATGCCATTTCCGAGTTCAGACTACTGGCATACGGTGCCAACAACCCCAGGATCTGGTTCGCGCAAACAGAAACCTTATACTTAGCGAGAGGCATACGCTCCCAGGTGACCATATATGCCTATGTTGTCGGCGCACTTCCCATCGAAATCGCTACGGAAGTCGGAGATTTGATCGACCATATACCAGAGACTGATCCTTACGACAAAATTAAGGCAACCATAATACAACGTACATCACTCTCTAATGAAAAAAGACTACAGCAACTGCTAACATCATGTGAACTAGGGGACAAGAGACTGTCACAGTCGCTACGACACATGAAACAGCTAGCGGGTTCATTTAAATTAGATGAAGCATTACTTAAACAAATGTAGTTCCAATGATTACCATATAACGCGAGACAGATTCTTAGTGTGCCGAGAAATTCCATCAATCTGGAAGACCTAGCAGATATGGCGGACAAGATTATGGAGATCTACACTGATAGTCATTATGTTAATGCGATACAGACCTCCGGTAGAGAACATACGAACACCACATTTAACATCCAGCAACCGTTAACGCAGTTAGCATGATTACAAGCTACTATCGTGACTATCCATTATCGACCAGCTAGATCCACGACTAGAAAAAGATCAGTTTCCAAACAGCGCCCAGATCACCTAAACGAGCAGCTAAAATTTGTTGGTACCATTTGAAGTAGGGTGGAAAAGCACGGCGTTGTACATAACCGTGCAACTTCACAACAAACAATCGTGAGAAACAGGGAAACGGGCCGGCCAGATAGTAATAGCGGCATCTGTTACTGGCCAACACGCTAGCCGCCTCTTCCACATCAGGGATCGTATTTCCGGCTCAGACTTCTCAGTCGATACAGGAGCAGAAATCAGCATCGCCCATTCCACCTCTCGCGGCGACGACAAACGACAAGTACCAAGTTGTCACTCATCGCGGCTAACGATACGGTTATCAAAACTTATGGAGAGCAATCCCTCATTATAGACCTCGGACTCCGGAGAAGATTCACATTGGTTTTTATAGTCAAAAACAACACATTCTCTGGGTGGACTTTCGTAGCCCCTATAGTCTATTAGTAGACATGAACAAAAAGAAGCTGACTGACAAAAATACAGGTTTGCAGGTGGACGGTACACTTACCACCGACTATGAAATATATGGTGTACGAATAATGAAACCTATGAACAACCTTTTCACTGACATCCGGATTAAATACGAGTGCATCACTAAGGCGGATTACCAAAAAGAATACACTGTACATCATGTGCAACACCACATTAGCACTACCGGTCCACCCATTTGCGCCAGGGCGCGGAGATTACCACCAGACAAGTTGCAGACGGCTAAGAGGGAATTCGAACACATGATGCAACTTGGAATTATTAGACAATCTAACAGTCCTTGAGCCTCGCCACTGCACATGGTTCTTAAAAAATATCAACACTGGTGTCCTAGTGGTGATTACCGACGCTTAAGTAACCAAGCCGTCCCTGACAGGTACCCAATTCCACACATACACAATTTTTCATTAAATTTACATGGAAAACGTATTTTCTCGAGACTTGAATTTGTGCGAACATACCATCAAATTCCGATGGCACCAGAAGACATCGCAAAAACAGCCATCATTACACCTTTTCGTTTGTTTGAGTTTTAAAGTATGCCATTCGGACTGAAAACTGCCTCTCAGACGTTCCAACGATTTAAGGACGTGGTTACCATAGATTTAGATTTTGTATTTACCTATATCGACGATGTTTTGATTGCCAGCTAATCAATCGAAGAGCATGTCCAGCATCTTCAGATCCTCTTCGACCGTTTTAAAAAGCATGGCGTCGTAATCAACCCTTCTAAATGTATACTCGGTGTCTCAGACTTAGTTTCTGGGCATTACATCGACTCTCAAAGCATTAAACCACTTCGAAAGAACGTCGAAGCTATCATCAACTACCCTGAACCAACTTCAGTAAAATCATTACGTCGTTTCCTCGGAACGTGTAATTTTTACCGACGATTTCTACCAAATTGTGCAAACGTGTTACAACCGTTTACAGACTTGCTGAAAAGTGATAAAAAAGGTACGAAGAGAGAAAAGAACGAAATATTCAAGCTACCTTCTGACTCTAAAACGGCATTCGAAAAAGCGAAGTCCATGATTGCTAACGCCACTATGTTACATCTAAATACTGACCCCACGACCCACCTGATTCTGTGTACAGACGCGTCACAAGAAGCCACAGGGGCAGTTTTACAACGGCAAGTAAGCAACACGACTACTCCCATAGCGTTCTTCTCCAAGCGACTGTCACCAACTCAAGAACGTTACAGTAATTTCGAACGGGAGTTACTCGCCATTTATTTAGCTGTCAAACACTTTAATTTCTTATTACAAGGGCGTACTTTCACCATCATCACGGATCACAAACCTCTGTGTTATTCATTCAACACCTCCTATGATCGACATTCACCTCGAGAAGCACGACAATTGGATTACATCTCTCAACTGACGACAGATATCCAATTTATCAAAGGACATACTAACGTCGCAGCCGATGCACCATTACGAAAGGATATAAATACTCTGGTAAGTAAACAAGACGTTGAACTTGAAACAACTGCAAAATTACAAGTAGACGACGCAGACCTAAAAAGCTGCAAAGAAAAGTACAATTTGATTCTCAAACCTGCACTCATTCCTTTCTCAAACTCATCTATCATCTGTGACGTTTCAACGGCAGTAACCGCCCCTTCGTACCTCAAACCGACACCAGGTTCTTCAGTAACTACACGAACTTTCACATACTGCAATTAAAGCTACCACAAAATTGATTACTGAACGTCTCGTGTGGCCAAAGATTAACACTGATATAAAGCGATGGACCCGAAAATGTCAACGCAGCGAAATTCAAAAACACACAACTAGTCCTGTTGAGAGGTTCACACTACCAGATAAATGCTTCCAACACATTCATTTAGACATAGTCGGTCCCCCGCCACCATCAGATTTACTCACGCATATCCTCACCGCGGTGGACAGGTGCGCAAGTTGGGTAATAGCATGACCTATCACCGACACATCTGCAGAGACGGTAGCAACCACATTCCTTGACAGTTGGATATCAAATTATGAAGTACCATCCATAGTTACTACAGACCGTGGTCTCCAGTTCCAGTTTGTCCTATTTCAGGAATTCACAAAGCTTCTGGGTGTGAACCACATCAAAACAACAGCCTACCAAACGGCAGCTAATGGTCTGGTCGAAAGGTTCCACCACCAATTAAAAAGCTCGCTGATGGAACCGGGTGATGCATCAAAGTAGAGTGACGCATTACCACTCGTACTCCTAGGAATCCGTTCAACCATACAGAAGGATATAGGTTGCACAGCCACTGAGCTAATTTACGGTACAACTCTCACATTATTAGGCCAATTAGTATATCAAGACACATCAGTACCAACTGATCCAAGTCGTTTCGTTAGTCGACTTCTACAAACAATGCAAAGAATCAAAGCAATACCGCCGCGGGAACATAATAATCAAATACAACTTGACAAAAGCCTAGAAACTTGTAAATTTGTCTTCGCTTGAGTTGACTCTGTTAAAAAGGCACTGAAACAGCCTTACGACGGACCATATCAAGTAATTAAACGGACAAATAAACACTTCATAATCAACAAGTGGGTAAAGAACGAGACTACTGCTATTAATAGAATAAAGCCAGCTTTCTATGAAGTGCAACAAGACCAAAATGATAGCACCGCAGTTAATCAG